AACCCTTAACCCCCCTTAAAATTTAAAAAAGGGCTTTGGGGGGGGGGGGGGTAATCGTAGTAAAAGGACATTCTAAATCCCTAAAAAAAAAAACCCGGAGGCCCTAAAAAAGCCAACGAGTTGATAGGGTTTAGGGTTTAGGGTTTAGGGTTTAGGGCTGAGGGTTTAGGGTTTAGGGGTCACCGGCCTTGAGTTGAGAAGCCGATGGTCCACGAGGAACGCCAGGGCACTGCCAGGTGACTTAGAGGTTGTTTGAGGCGGCTTTCGGCTTCTTTTGGGGTTTAGGGTTTAGGGTTTAGGGTTTAGGGTTTGGGTTCTGTAGGGCTTAGGAGCTTGAGGTGGTTTCAGGGCACTCTTCTTGTGCTACTGCTGCTAGTTGGTAAGTTATATGGTCCGTTCAGCCAATTTAGGGTTTAGGGTTTAGGGTTTAGGGTTTAGGGTTTAGGGTTTAGGGTTTAGGGTTTAGGGTCCATTCAAGCATGCCGCAGAGGGCCGGACTCCAGATTAGCAGTGGCTTGACCTGGGGATTGCGGGCTTCAGGTCTGCCGTCCTCAAGGCCCAGGCGTCGGAACCTGGGGTTTAGGGTTTAGGGTTTAGGGTTCAGGGTTTAGGGTTCAAGGTTTAAGGGCCCTTGTGCGAAACTACAAACCCCATACTCCAGACCCCGCACTTGAAACCCTCAACTTGAAACCCTCGACCCTGAACACCTGAACACCTACACGCTTTTGGGCAACGCCTACACCATGAACCCTTTTTTTGGGGTAATCTGATAGAAGGCTCTGTAGTATGGCACGAACCGAAAAGCAGCACCTAATTTGACCTAATGCCCAAGCACCTGAAACAATCCGGGCCAGCCTGGCATGGGGCGTGCCAGCGTCCCTGAGCTGCTTATTATTTAGGATTTAGGGTTTAGGGTTTGGGGTTTAAGGTTTAGGGTTCAGGGGGCCGAATTGACACCGTGCAGGCATAACGACACCCACCGCCACTAGCCACCACATGATTCGATCATGCCTTCAGAGGCCCTCACCAAACAGCTTTCGGGTTTAGGGTTTCGGGTTTGGGGGGTCTAGGATGGTTTAGGTTGGTTTGGGGGCGCATCTGCGCAGCTGACTTGCATGGCTTCAGTATTTGGGATTTCGGGAGAACGGGCTATTATAGTATAATTCTACAGGAACCCTCAGGGAACATTACTAGCAATTATTCCGACCCCTATACTATATGCCTTCGTCTGCAGACTTCTACAGTTATCAGATTTCTGTGAGGAACAGGCTCTGCACACTTCTACAGTGATTCTACAATGAGGACAAGTCGCAATGAAGCCCTAATGAAGCACGTCCCACTCCAAAAAAAAGGCAGCCGCCAGCTGCCTAAGCCCGTGAGAGACTCTAGACCCTAGACCCTAGACCCTAAACCCTAAACCCTAAATCTTCTGCAGCCATGCAGCCGAGACTTCTGAACGAAGTTTCGCACGAAATCAAAGTCCTGCTCTTCACAGCAGGCAGAGAGCCAGCCTTTTCCATCCACGAAGAACCTGACAGCCATCATGGCCCTCGCACGCCGCTAGTGGCGACTGACTGCTTCAAGAGGCAATCCACATCAACAAGACAAATTTGTGAAAAAAAAAACAATGCTTCCCGCTGCGTGTCGCCCGTATGCAATTCACATTGTTGTACATCTACCATGGAGATGCAGACGCCCCGAAACACAGCATTGCTTCTCTGGTTCAGCCGACGAGACACCTGAAGTTGGTACTGTGCCCGAAATCAGAGAAATGATATCCTGAGCAGGTGCAGCGGCTCCGGGGGGTTCGACGCACGTTGAAAATAATCAGAGTCCTGCTCTGGGTCCTCTAAACCCTAAACCCTAAACCCTAAACCCTAAACCCGAAACCCTAAACCCTAAACCCTAAACCCGAAACCCTAAACCCTAAACCCACTATCATATAAACACACCTCGGCTACACCCTCTCAACCAAAACCTGCTACACCCAGCACACCCACGCCCCAACCGCACGTGCCGAACCCTTAGCGTCCCAAACTCCCGATACTCCCAACGCGAAGCCTTCATTCGCCACCCGACGTGGAGCCTGCAAACATATACTTCCCGAACCTTTTCGAGAACAACATGCCATTCCTATGAATCCCAAAGAAGCCTGGATTTCAAATCCTGAAATGCACCCCCTCCCACCACTAAAGCCCTAAAGCCCTAATCTTAAAGACTCTAAACCCAAAAACCTAAACACTCACGAAAGCCCAAACCCTAAACCTGAAGACTCTGAACCCTAAACTCTAAACCCTAACTAAACCCCAAACCTGAAGACTCTCGACAAGCAGTTCCGAGTCGAAGGGTCGCGAAGCCCCTGCAAGCCCCAGGTCGGCGTAGCACTGTGCCAGGTGCTGCCGCACCTCTCTTCTCGATGATATGGTTTAGGGTTTAGGGTTTAGGGTTTAGGGTTTAGGGTTTGGGGTTGGGGTTTAGGGTTTAGGGTTTAGGGTTTAGGGTTTAGGGTTTAGGGTTTAGGGTTTAGGGTTTAGGGTTTAGGGTTTAGGGTTTAGGGTTTAGGGTTTAGGGTTAGGTTTAGGGTTTAGGGTTTAGGGTTTAGGGTTTAGGGTTTAGGGTTTAGGGTTTAGGGTTTAGGGTTTAGGGTTTAGGGTTTAGGGTTTAGGGTTTAGAGTTTAGGGTTTAGGGTTGAGGGTTCAGGGTTTAGGGCTTAGGGTTTAGGATTTAAGGTTTAGGATTTAGGGCTCTAATGATGGTCCCTTGTTTGGGCACCCTACATGTTAGGGGCCGCCTTGAAAATAGTAACCCCAGAAGGCACCATAATTTAGAGAACTCACCATATGCATTTGGCCTTCTTCGGCGGAGGGGCCTCTTCTCCACTGTTTGCTTTATGTTGGATTTAGAGCTTCAGGGGCTTAAGTTTATTTTCTGCCTTTTCTTCGGGTTTGGGGGGGGGTTTAAGATGTCGGGTTTGGGATGTTCCCCCTTATACTAACAGTCGTTCATAGGGATTATTGTACCCCCTACCACAATCCCTATTAAGGACTGCTAGTACAAAGGGGAACATCGCAATGTAGGGGGTTGAGAGTTTGTATAGGTCCCACTGCCCCGCAGAAACTAAGTATAAAAGGGGTATCCATTTTTGCTTCAAGAGGTTAACAAGGGAACCTAGGCCCTACACAATTGGAAAAGGGGCGTGTTTCGTGTGCTCGCGTCGAGGTAGCGCATTTCCACAAAAGGTTTTATATGTAGCTGGATTTATCTAAGGAGGTTTGGTTCAGTCACGACCGCAATGTGGGGTCATCAAGCTGTTCTGCTCTTGTGGAAACTTTCTTCAGAGAAGAACCCGACCAACCCCCCCCCCCCCCCCCCCACCAAAAAAAAAAAAAAACAACAACAAAAATCCGGCTTCGTGTTCACCTCCAGCGGGCCACACCAATACCCCCGCCCCCCTCCCCCCCCCAAGACATCCCCCTTGCGGGGTTGTCGGGGCCACATCACTCTGAAAGCTCTACTCCTATATCTAGAATCTTCTCAAGCCTAACTCAAGGGAAAGTATAAACCCTAAACCCTGAATCCTAAACTTCCCTAAGCCTCCCTGAACCTCAAACCCTAAACCCTAAACCCTAAACCCCAAACCCCAACCCCAAAACCATTTCAAGCGGGCCCCGGCCTCTGCAATGGGGATGTTATGGTCAATTGTCAGCTCTCGCCGGACGTAGCCTTCGATCTCCTGGAGCTTTCAGGGGACTCTTCGTATGGGAATCCCCTTTTTTTTGGGGGGGACCCTTCAGGGGCACAAGGGTTTAGGGTTTAGGGTTTAGGGTTTAGGGTTACAAACTTTCGGTAACGAGTTTTCATGTCCAGAAGCCTTGCTAAGCTCGACCTTTGGTTGTGGGGATCGACGTCTTGTGCTGTTCTCTACATATCCCCCTACTGGGATCTTTGTCGTAATCCGCTGTGTACCTGCTATTATCACAAGTTTTTTTCCGGAGGTTTTTTTTTTTTTTTGGGGGGGTTTGTGGTTTGGGTTAAGGGCTTAAGCAGTATGAGGCTTGAGGCCCTGAGGGTCTTGGGCTCCAGGAATCTTAAAGAGCCAGAATGCGGAGAATCCAGAAATCTAAGCCCGGCCAGTTCCATTCAAAGCCTTATGGAAATTCATTACAAAACGAGGCCCCAAGCAAATTTTGTGATGGGTAGCCCACGGGCCGGTCAGGCTGTCTTTAGTAAATTTGTCTGGCTACCCTCTACAATACCTTTTTTTTTCGGATGATTGTCTTTAGGGTTTGTGTTTAGGTTTGAGGGCTCGCAGTAAAGGCTTGAGGCCCTGAGGGCCTTGGGCTCCAGGAATCTCAAAGGCCGGAAAGCTTCAGGCCTGGAGGTCCTAGAGGCTTGAGGCCTTGAGGGCGGTCCCCCCCCCCCCCTCCAATTTGTTTGGGGGGGTCGCCGCGCCACGCGTTTAGAGAGGGTCCAAACAAAGTGGGGGGGGGGGGCCATACTAAAGACAGTGCAACATGTATATATACATATACATATATACATATATAAATGAGTATGTATGTTCTACGCGCAGTCTAATACAAACGGGTGCGCTCTCAGCGCATGCAATCAAATACGTGTGTACATGTGTAGAATGGATATGTGCACTGATCATCAAGAATCTATCCTGCATTAAATGCCTGTGGTGTGTACGCTCCGAACGTTTTGCGCTGTGCTGAGTGCGTGCGCCCGTCACATCTCTGACTGGCTGACTTGTTGCTTATCATCTGTCTCCAAAGCCCTACCTATCGCAAGCGCTACTAAATAGTTAACATCTCAAAGCGTGAGATTGTGGGCATGCAACACCGTCAGCCAGCCTTGCGAAGACAGTCAACTGAGTTCCGCGAGATAGCTCGCAACATTCTTGTGACCTCGTCGCGTCGCTACTTCCAAAGCCGTAGAATGACCAGCAACCCCGGCATTCATGGCAAAATTCTTGTCCGCGCCCGCTTCAACCAGCAAGCGCACGACATCAAGGTGACCCTGACCGGCTGCAGCAATCAACGGCGTTGCCTCGGCCTCTGTTCGATCCAAAGCAGCCTCCTGTTCAATAAGCAAACGCACAGCCTCGAACCTTAGTTGTCCAGCAACCTGGGAGAATTAAAGGTTACCCTTTGAAATTTTAAAGGGAGTTAGAATACCCCCAAAAAGGTTTAAGTTTTTTAAAGGTTACCGACTCTACTACTAAGTCACCGGCCACTTCGAGCTGCAAAATGGAGGGGCGTCCTCCCTTTGACCGATAGGGCGTCTTTGTCGGCGCCGGCCTCTAGCAAGAGGCGCATGGCCTCCAGACGTCCATTCAAAGCAGCGTAGTGCAAGGGTGTATGGCCAAATTCATCCATCACATTGGGGTTGCGCGGGCGTCTCAGCAGCTCTTCAAGCCTCGCCGTGTCGATGCCCCGAGAGGCATCGATCATCTGTTGATCGAGCGCAGCATTAGGTGGACAGAAGGCCAACTTCACCAGATTCACCGTGAGAGGGCCACCATCGGAAGCGAAGATTTCATCGTCTGCGACCTCGCACGTGCCATCTCCAGCCAGGAGTCTTTGTCGAAATCTGGAGACGCCAACATGAGACGTCAAGGCTTCTTTCACCTCCTTCGCCGCTTTGCCCGCAAATTTGCTTGGATCAAGCGTTGTCACAGACTCACCCGACGCAAGGAGTTGCACGTGCATCGCCATTTCTACCCAAGTTGCGGGAAACAACACCAAGCCTGAAGAACACGTGTAACTACAAAATGATGAAACTCTGTAGTCCTCACCACACAGTACTCACTGCTGCCTGCAAGTGCCAACGGCAAAGACAAAACTCGACCTGTAAACTGCAGAGGATTAGTCTGCGACGAGCATTGCTCTCACCACAAGCACCAGCGCCAGCCGCACCCCTAAACCCTAAACCCTAAACCCTAAACCCTAAACCCTAAACCCTAAACCCTAAACCCTAAACCCTCAACTCCAGCTGTAGCACTGTGGCGGTCCGGTTTTCAGGTTCCCTAGTCCTCCTTTGGGGATTTATCACCTCGCCTGCAATCCGGCAATCTCATTAGCCCTCGCTCCAGGCTGAAACTAGGCTGCCTACTAACCTAGGCTTGGGTGCCCTTTTTTGCTTAAAGGGGTTTATAAGGGAACCTAAACCCCCCAAAAAAGGGAATAAGGAAACTACTGGGCATCCTAGGAAACTTGATGGACTGATGGACTATGAGTATGAGATTGGATCTCCTAAACCAGAAGACAGTTGAACAGCTGAGCAAACGAATCTGGTTGGTGGTTTAAAAAGTCCACAAGCTAGTCAACGAACAAATCATCCCAAGTAGATGGGAAAACCAGAGATCGCCGAATTGGAACAGGGAACAAAACTTCCTGAGTCGAGCACTTTCCCATTCTTCCATATAATGTTTAGGGTTTAGGATTTAGGGTTATCAGCAGGGTAAGTGTGGCGATAACCTTACTTAGGCCGTCCATATATAAGTACCCCATGGACCTCCGAGTTCGGAGTATAGGCTTAGGCCCCCTGCATTTGGTGTTCTAGGGTAGTCCAGGGTTTAGGGTTGAGCTTTGGGGTACCCTAGACACCAAACATTATAACCCTGAAAAAACCCAGACTCTAAAACCAAAATCCCGAACCCTAAACCCAAACCCTAAACCCTAAAACCCCAAACCCTAAAGTGGGTTTCGGGGGTCAGCCCTAAACCCTAAGCCCTAAACCCTAAACCCTAAACCCGCGAAAGCCTTTGAGGGCGGAGTCCTTGACGCAGTGTGAGCTGAAGTACTGGTCCTCCTTGTGCTGGAAGCTCCTGCAGGTAGATCACATAACCCTCGTAAGGTTTAGGGTTTAGGGTTTAAGGTTTAGGGTTTAGGGTTTAGGGTTTAGGGTTTAGGGTTTGGGACTTGGGACTTGGGCTTGGGGTGTTATCTGCAACCCCGGAGCCATACCAGAACCGCCCCACCCCGCAAACACAAACCGTGGAGGAATTTGATGGCCCAGGGTTTAGGGTTTAGGGTTTAGGGTTCTTAGGGCACTTGAAGGTTCAGGGGTACTTATAAGTGGGGTTACAAGATAGGATACTTATAGCCCTACCCCTAAACCCTAAACCCGAAACCCTACTCGATATTCATGAACCTCCAACTTGCCAACCCTAAACCCTAAACCCTAAACCCTAAACCCTAAACCCTAAACCCTAAACCCTAAACCCTAAACCCTAAACCCTAAACCCTAAACCCTAAACCCTAAACCCTAAACCCTAAACCCTAAACCCTAAACCCTAAACCCTAAACCCTAAACCCTAAACCCTAAACCCTAAACCCTAAACCCTAAACCCTAAACCCTAAACCCTAAACCCTAAACCCTAAACCCTAAACCCTAAACCCTACGTCGAGTTGAGGCTTAGAAGCTCAAGAGGGCAAGCCCAGCACCTGGTTGAGGCCGAGGTGCTCCAAACTGTCATATCCGCCTGGCTTAGGGTGCAGGGTTTAGGGGTTTAGGGGTTAGGGGTTAGGGTTTAGGGTTTAGGGTTTAGGGTTTAGGGTTAGGGGTGTAGGGTTTAGGGGGTTTAAGAGTTTAGGGACTCAGGGTTTAGGGCTAAGGAGGTTCAGGGTTTAGGTGGTTTAGAGGTGTTGGGGGGCTCAGGGTTCAGGAGGGAGTTTAGGGTGTTTGAGGGCCTTAGGAGCTCCGGGGGGCTGTAGGGGCTTCAGGGGCTTTAGGGCGGGGGGGGGGGGGGGGGTGGCCCAATAGACAGGCCTGAAATAGTCTGACTTAGACCATAACCTGGAAAAAAGGGTTTAGGGTTTAGGGTTTAGGGTTTAGGGTTTAGGGTTTAGGGTACTACTGGGCAATTTGGCACCCCGCGATAATCTCGCAGCAGATTTTGAAACTCGGGGTTAACTCAAAGGACGATGTAGAGCAACTGAGGTCCCGACTTTCCTATCTAGAGCCAGTACTTGGAGGTTCCATGCATGGGTGTGTAATTATACAAGTAGAGTCAGAAGCACCCTCAGTAAAATCTTCTAAGTACCCATCACTCTCCAAGCAGAAAGGGACTGAACAGGCCTGGAACCCTAAACCCTAAACCCTAAACCCTAAACCCTAAACCCTAAACCCTAAACCCTAAACCCTAAACCCTAAACCCTAAACCCTAAACCCTAAACCCTAAACCCTAAACCCTAAACCCTAAACCCTAAACCCTAAACCCTACACGAGCAAAGGAGCCGAGAAGGCCTGCGGCGGCAAGACGCAGGTGCTCAGCAAGGCGGGCCTCCACAGGGGTTTAGGGTTTAGGGTTTGGGGTTTAGGGTTTTGGGTTTGGGGTTTAGGGTTTAGGGTTTAAGGTTCAGGGTTCAGGGTTTAGGGTTTAGGGTTTCTACCCATCGTGAATGGACTTGAGGCTTGGGGCTTAGGTGGGATTTCGGGTTTAGGGTTTAGGGTTTAGGGTTTAGGGTTCTGCAACCAGCCCCAGCAGAGTGTACATTTCCTGATCCTTCTTTTGCCATCTTGGAAACCATCCCCCTGGGCTGGAAAAGGCACTTGATATGTCCTTGCCACACCCACTTGCCCTAAACCCTAAACCCTAAACCCTAAACCCTAAACCCTAAACCCTAAACCCTAAACCCTAAACCCTAAACCCTAAACCCTAAACCCTAAACCCTAAACCCTAAACCCTAAACCCTAAACCCTAAACCCTAAACACTAAAACCCTAAACCCTAAACCCTAAACCCTAAACCCTAAACCCTAAACCCTAAACCCTAAACCCTAAACCCTAAACCCTAAACCCTAAACCCAACCCTAAACCCCAAAACCCAGCTCGGCAGGCCACCGTACTGCGGCAAAACAGTGGCGGAGGCTTCAGGTGCATTCGAAGGGTTGGGTATAGGGTTTAGGGTTTAGGGTTTAGGGTTTAGGGTTTAGGGTTTGGGGTTTAGGGTTTAGGGTTTAGGGTTGAGGGTTTAGGGTTTAGGGTTACAGCGCCTATGCGTTTTTATATTTTTACGAGGTTTATGAGGTATACAGGGAGTATAGGGTTCTGTATGTTTGTGACGTTTAGAGGGCTTATGCGGCTGTATGAGGCGTAATTATGGGCTCAGAACCAGATTCCGCAAATATCAGGGCAAAACGCTGTCCAACTCCGACACCCAACCCTAATTTCAACGCTAACCCTGAAACGTCCTGAATAAGACTCAGCTCCAAATCCGAATCGCGGCTGTGGCTTCTCAGCTTCCTATTGAGCCCGAAGCCCCGTACAGGATATAAACCTTACAAACCTTGTATAAGCCCTGAACCCCTCGAAAACTTTGCAAAGCCCTTATATATAGTTACATCTATATACAAGTATATATACATATATTTTTATGTTTCTTTATTTATTTCTTCATGTTTGTATTTATTTTCATATTCATATTTATATCTATACTGATATTTATAAAAGAATATGTTCATGTTTATATTCATAAGTATATTTACACGCCCTAAAATCCCAAACGCCAAGCCCTCTAAACCCGAGGGTCCCTTCTCAGGGCCCCTGCCTCTCTCAACTGCTGGGCGCGCAACTCCAAGAAACCGTCGGCGAGATCTCCTGCGACCCTAAACCCTAAACCCTTGGAAGGGGACCCGCAGGTTCGGGAGTTCAGGGTTCGGTGTTCATAGCGTTTGGGATGCAGGGTTTAGGGTTTAGGGTTTGGGATTCAAGGTTTATGGAGTTTGTGGAAATGTTTAAGCCTTTGTATAGATAATACTAGCTGTAGTGGGGCTCTTGTAGTACTACTGAAGCATAGGATCGCTTCTCTACATTATGGCCCCTTTTGGGGTTTGGAATCTTCAAGCTACTCAAAAATGGACCCTCATTCAGAGAACTGACCATAGAGCGACTACAGTATGCAAGGTCTGAAACTTGAAGCACCCGCCAGCTGCATTTTCAGATTCCTAGGGGAACGGTTTAGGGTATGGGGTTATTCAGGTCAAGCTTTGAGAATATGTTGGGTTACGTATCGAACACTAAGCTGAAGCAACCCTTAAACAGACAACAGGAAAACGTGAACGCGAAAGCCTGGGCCCAAAACTCAGTTCAAAACCCGCCCAAGCCCCTGCACCCCTAAAACCCATAAGGGCATTTAACACTTTTGTGGTGATTACTGTAGAGTTGAGGGCTGACGACTTCGCACATGGGCTTGGGGGGTTGCTGTTTGGGGTTGAAGCGCTCCATGTACTTGTGCACATGCCTACGAACACCCAAGGACCCCACCTGCCATCACGCCGGTGCCCTAAACCCTAAACCCTAAACCCTAAACCCTAAACCCTAAACCCTAAACCCCCCTCCTGTCAGAGAATAGTGGCCCACCAGCGAATGTTCAGCATCCACAACACCCCGACTGAAGCCACGGTAGACCCCGCCCAAGCGCGCCAACTCCACCTTGCCGGGCTCTGGAAGATGTGAGGGGATGATAGGGTTTAGGGTTTAGGGTTTAGGGTTTAGGGTTTAGGGTTTAGGGTTTAGGGTTTAGGGATCATCATTACAAGCTCAGGAATCCCCGCATCACTGCATCTGCCCTGGACCTTAACCCCCATGAGTTGCAGCTTCACACGCACCTTGCGAGGTTCACGAGTCCTGCCTCACGAACTACACGTACCCTTATAAGGCCATTCTCAAAACCCGAATTAAACCCTGTCAACCCAAACCTTTTCTGCTAAAACTCTCATGACGCTGCTAGGATGACTGGCGGAAGCTGCGACAGCAGATGCATTTTCCTACCCGAAGGGTCCCTGTACCTGTATAGTATATACTTGGGCGCTAGAGCTACTATATGGGAACCCCTCTAAGGGCCAAGTATGCACTACATATATATATATATATAATATTATATATATATATATATATAATATATATACATATATATATATACATATATATATATATATATATATATATATTGAGGTTCGTGGACCCTTAGGGCTTGTGGTGGCCTGGAGAACCACTTCCAACAAGTCCACTCCGAAGCGGTTCGTGGGGGAGAATGCTGTGGCGGGCGTCATGAAGCCAGTCCACAGGAAGTTGCCCAGGTTCTTGTTCCTCGGTTTAGGGTTTAGGGGTTTAGGGTTTAGGGGTTTAGGGTTTAGGGTTTAGGGTAGGGAACTAGGTTTGTTCCTCAGCTGTTGGGCTCTTCTCCCAACTCACTGATTCTTAGTGGGGATTGCCCAGGTTCTTGTTCCTCAACTGATTGGTTGTTCTCCCAACTGACTGATGATCAGGAATTAGGGAAGTAAGAATTAGGCTTGTTCCTCAACTGGTTGGCTCTTGGCTCAACTCACTGGTCATTAGTAGGGAAGTAGGGAGTTAGGTACCGTAAGTTAACTCCCCTCCCTCCCAAAGCAAGCTAAGGGTCCAAGTAAGCCCTGACCCAAACCCTAAACCCTGGTCAAGGTGGGGTTTAGGGTTTAGGGTTTAGGGTTTAGGGTTTAGGGTTTAGGGGTACAGGCTCCCGTGCTAGAAGGCATGGATCTAACGACACTTTCTCTCCAGGTTAGGAATCCACAGATAGCTCGTACTCTCTCTGATTCATGTCCGGTATTCCCACCCGCTGAAACCAAGTTTACACCTGGTTTGTTAGGGTTTAGGGTTTAGGGTTTAGGGTTTAGGGTTTAGGGTTTAGGGTTTAGGGTTTAGGGTTTAGGTTTTTTTTTTGCCACCCGCCTAGCAGGGTTTAGGGTTTAGGGTTTAGGGTTTAGGGTTTAGGGTTTAGGGTTTAGGGTTTAGGTTTACCCCTGGAGAACCAACAGCAAACATACAATTGTCATGAAGTGATAAAGGTTGGAATTTGCCACATGCCCTTTTCAACCTGAGCCTGCCAGAAACAAGCCTTATCTTAATCCCTGTTCCCCTAGGAAGAAAAAAGGATCCTTTTTGTTCATATATAAGAAAGCCCATAACCCAAAAAGTAAAAAGGATCCCTAACACTGATCTAGTTATCGTAGGAAGAGTTGAGTCAAGGAGCATGGCCAGAAGCTCGTGGATCATGAACTCCTCGTCCTGGAGCGCTCACAAGCAGCAGCCTAGTCACCGCAAGCATACCTATTCGGAGGTCCTAGTGTCTTCCGGATGCTTCGAGATTGTCTGAAGGACAGTGTTCATAAACTCTACAAATCTCATGGACCTGGGATGTTCCCCCTTGTACTAACAGTCCTTCATAGGGATTCTAGTACCCCTTACTATAACCCCTATTAAGGAGTGTCAGTATAAGGGGGAACAACCCAACGCTCAAGTCCACTTTGCAGGGCTTTGCGGAATTTCGGGTGAGGTGGTAGGGTTCCGGGTTTTTACCCTAAACCCTAAACCCTAACTAAACCCTAGACCCTAAACCCTGATTAAACCCTAAACCCTAAACCCTAAACCCTGATTAAACCCTAAACCCTAAACCCTGAAAACCGCCCAAGGTGTAAGAATTGCCCAGCTGCGACTTGGCAAACTGATGGCAACTGTGGGTCAACTGTGGGTCGGGGCCGAACCCTAAACCCTAAACCCTAAACCCTAAACCTTAAACCCTAAACCCTAAACCCTAGCCCTGAACCCTAAACATGTGGAGTCCTGGTTGCTGGAGTGGTGCTCGGCCACATCCTTCCGCCCCTCTGTCTGGAGAGAGGAACCTGACTTGGAGGTTCATGGGTACCTATAGGTGGGGTTCTCATTCGGGCAACTACGCTTCTAACCTTACTTAGGGCACTTACAACCCTACTTTTCTAAGTACCCATGAACCTTGAAGTAGCGGAGGCTGAGATTCTAGGAAAACTGAAGGTGAGCAATTCCCTTGACAACTGTCTTGCAAAAGCTTAAATCACCAGCCCACCGGCAACTGTCCACCATCTAGAAGTGCCAAGGTTGCGTACCCCTTTCTTCTATGAGGACCTGTCAATAAACCCTCAACCTCATCTAGATTTCTAACCCTAAGCCCTAAACCCCCTAAGCTGCCAAAAGCCGCCGCATTGTAGGCGTGCCGAGAAGCCGATCCGGGCTGACCTCTCCTGAAGCAAAGAGGGGTGATTTAGGGTTCCGGAACACTAAACCGCGTCGGCCTGAACCCTAAACCCTTAACTCCAAATCCTAAGTCCCAAAACCCCAAACCCTTTAAACCAAAAAAGCCATAAATCCTGCAGGATTTACGGGATTTCTCCAGCTTCCCGGGAAACCTGTCATTCTTAGGTTATGGGGTTTAGGTGCTTTTGCGGGACTTACACCTAGGTTTGACTTCAGCTTTCTTATAGGGTTTCAGGTTTAGGGTCTAGGGTTTAATCTGTAAGGTTCAAGGGTTTAGGGGTTCTTAAGCAAATGTTACGGTGTGGGGTTTTGGGTTTAGGGCTTAGGATAGGGGAGTTAGACTTTTGGGGTGGTAGGGTTTAGGGATGTTGGCTTCACCTGTGTGCTTGGGCAGTGTCGCCTGAGTCCTTCCAAAGGCGGAAGCTAAGCTTAAGGCTGCATGTAAGCTGCGCGCTCATTTGTCAGGAGGTCTTGGATGAAATAGGCAGAATACCCGAAGCCCTGAACGTCACACCAGCTTTATAGGGCTTGTGGCCGGATGCAAGTATTAGTGCCCTTTGTCCGCAAACACGCGAGCCTCATAGTAGCGGAAGAAGCGCACCAGCCGCACAGCATACCTCGTGGACTTTGATGCTTGAATGGCAGGCGTAGCTGGATTGCTAAGAAACCAAAATCAAGTTACTATTGCCAGGAAATGTAGGAATAGTGTGGTTTCCTTGAAAGGTAAACTTCCCAAACAGCTACCCAAGTTTTCTTCTTTTGAAGCTGGACAAGTTGACTGCGTCCTCTTATTATAACCTTCAAAATTCATAATGTCATAACGGCGGCTGCTTTTCTACTCTGAAGACAAAGCTCTTTGGGATTGCATTTGTGGCTCGGTGCCGAGTCGCTGTCCCTCTTCTGCCAGGACGTCCTTCACGGGTATCTGCCTGCCCGTCCGGATGTCCTTGAGCACCACCTGCATCTCACTGACCTCAGCTGCGCGGGGAAGGGGTTTAGGGTTTAGGGTTTAGGGTTTAGGGTTTAGGGTTTAGGGTTTAGGGTTTAGGGTTTAGGGTTTAGGGTTTAGGGTTTAGGGTCTATAGGGGGTTTGGGGGGGAAGACCGGCTCTTTGCGCAACTTGACGGTTCATGGGTACGTTTCAGTAGGGTTCGAAGCACCCTAAGGCCCTAAGTAAGGCCATAAGCATAGTTGCCCTACTTCTAACCCTTCTTATACTTACTTCTCCATAACCAAGGGAAAAAAAGAGGTTAAACTTTGTTATTCCTACTAAATAAGGAAGCCCAAAAAGCTTAAAGTTCAGCTGTTGGAGAAGTAAGTACAAGCACCCATGAACCTCCAAGTATGCTTTGGCAGGCAAACCCGGCCTGCGCATCAAACAAGAGGTCGTAGATGTTCGCATGCTCGGGGGCCAGCAGAGGGCGGCTGGGCATTCCACCGCCCTCAGCTTGGCGCAAGGCAACCGGCTGAAAGACGTTCTCCTTGGTAGCCCAGTAACCATCTCACAATAAGGGCTACCTTTTTTTTGGTCAGGTTACCCCACAAGGGAACCCAGAACCAAAAGAAAAAGAAGGAGGCAAAAGGGTAGCCACCGGGCTGCCAAGTCTCAGAAAGGCCCGAGCTGAGCTGCGCCAGCTCCAGGCGGATCTCGGCGAATCGCGTCGGGCCCTGGAACTGCCGGATTTCCTGGAGCGGCTCCAGCCCATGGGAGGATCCCGCCCAGGCCATCCTCTACTGAACGTGGAACCCTAGCAAATGTATAAATTTCAGCTGTTTCTTAGGAATTCTGGTACCCAAGAATGAAAAATATTTCCAAGTATTCCTGAGCATCAGCTGCAGCAGGGGCACCGGGTTCTGCGGTATCTCCGCAGTCGTCCCATCTGGCTTCACCAGGCGCGGGGGCTTTCCAAAACCTGTGAGCCAGCACTCCTTGGTAGCAAAACACAAGCCATATTGTAGTAAGGGTACCCCTTTTTGGGGTTGCAAGGTTACTTGATAAGGGAAACCTTGAATCAAAAACTGGGCAAAAAAAGTACCACTGGGCCACCCTAAACCCCAAACCCTAAACCCTAAACCCAAAACCCTAAACCCTAAACCCACCAAGTCTCCGCTGGGAAGGTCAACGACCACGGCAGCGAATGTGTCTCGCGGTTGGGGAGGCATCGAGAATCCAGGGCTGTGTAGACGACGATGCTCCTGGACTCTGGCACCCTGAACCCTAAATCCTAAACCCCAAATCCTAAACCCCAAGCCCCCCGTTTTTGAGACCCTAAACCCCAAACCAAACCCTAAACCCTGAACCCTAGCAGGTTTTGCTTTTAGAGATTGTAAGCTCTTTAGGGTAGGGTTTAGGGTTGAGGCAAGATTCTAAACATGCACCCATACCTCGGGGACCCAATTCGGGATCGTGCCACGTGCATTCCTAGGAACTGGAACGAGGAAACGCGCCGATCTAACTCGACTGGCCGACAAACGAAGAGCGCCCCCTTTTACTAAACTACTCTTCATCAGGCATCGACAAAGCCCTGGATGGGAACGACGGTGCTGAGCATGCTAGGCTAGGGTCGAATCTAGGCTTAGGTAGCCTTTCTGGGCTGTAGATCGTCCTAGAACCCTCCTACAGCCCCCTAAAGCCCCTAACCCTAAACCCTAAAACACCCTAAACCCTAAACCCCCTTGAGGCCCTAAGGCCTACTGAAATCCTAAGCCCCAAAAACCAGTGCATGGCATCCGAGTCACTGCTCAAGGGCCTTGGTGGCACCTCAACGACCGAGGCGCACACAACCAAGATCTTCCGAACATTAGGGTTTAGGGTTTAGGGTTTAGGGCTTAGGGTTTAGGATTTGGTTTAGGGTATAGGGCATAGGGTTTAGGGTTTGGGGTTTAGGGATGTTGGGCTTTGATAGGGTATATAGTGGGCCAAAGCCAGTGTTACCCACAGATGAACCTGGACTCTGCAATTTGGTGGGTGAGGATGATCTTCCGGGGCGGCAGGTTAGGCTGCTAAGTTAGACGCTAAACCCTAAACCCTAAACCCTTTAAGGGTTTGGGGTCGGTTTTTGAGATCTGGTTTAGGGTTGCGAAGGAAGGCAAGGCATCGGTTGGTAGGTCCTCTAACTGGGGTGACACAACGACATCGGGTTCAATGACGTTCTGATGCTCCTAAGACACACTTACGGCTCAGCATGCAGGGCAAGGCTCTAGATATGGTTTAGGGTTTAGGGTTTGTTTGGGGCTTGGAGTTTGGGGTTTGGGCGGGGTTGGGGCTTGGGTTGGGTTATTTCACTTCGGGCCTCGACTGGCTTGAGGCCTTTTGTGGGGCTGAGGCCCCGCGCAAACAGAACTCATGCTGTATGGTGGGGTCTAAAGTCTCCCATGCTCCTAAGTACCCTAACCCCCCCCCCCCCCCCAAACAAACAAATCAAAAAAAACTGTTTCCTCGACCCTCAAGCGGCCTAATGCTAAGGAATTTCTGTGGCCCTCTTTGGGTCTAAGCAACAACTTTGTGGAGGCACCCTAAACCCTACAACCCTACAACCCTACAGCCCTACAACCCTACAACCCTACAACCCTAAACCTTAAACCCACAACCCACTCACGAAGCTTTTCGAGCTTGTTCCAAAGCCTAACCTTCACAGCATCTACGCCCTATAACAGCAAACCCTAAACCCTAAACCCTAAACCCTAGACCCTAAACCCTAAACCCTGAACCCTAAACCCTAAACCCTAAACCCTAAATTGTGGACGCAGGATTCCACACCCGAGGCGCCGCGGCGCACGGCTCGCCGAATGGAGGCCGAGGCCTCCGCACCATGGCTGGTGACGACGAGGCGCCGGACCTCTTTTTGTATCTTTTTGTTGGGTGGGTTTAGGGTTTAGGGTTTAGGGTTTAGGGTTTAGGGTTTAGGGTTTAGGGTTTAGGGTTTAGGGTTTAGGGTTTAGGGTTTAGGGGGGTCAGATAGGGTTTAGGGCGCAAGGCTGGGGTTGGGGAGATTTCGACCCACACCCACTTTCAGCGTTGCCTTCCCAAGCTTCCCCTAAACCCTAAACCCTAAACCCTAAACCCTAAACCCTAAACCCTAAACCCTAAACCCTAAACCCTAAACCCTAAACCCTAAACCCGCCTTCCAAAGCTTATCCTTCTTCTGCCATCCAGGTGTTGCTCTTAGCCCTACGGGACCACAGCAAACTTGATAAGGCTTAATAAGCACTAAGAAGGCGTATTAGTGCTTATGAGCCTTATTGTTAATGTACCTACATCGTATGTAGCCCTGAAGCTACTATGTAGGAATTCCTATGAGAGCCCAAGTATAGACTAGATAAGTCAAGGACTCCTCGGGTAGGCAGGGCGCCTCGCACCCTCCTGCTGCCAAGCATGAGAACCCCCCCGCACCCCCCCGTGCTCGTTTTGCAGGGTTTAGGGTTTATAGGGATTTTTGGGTGTAGGGTTTTGCTCCTTCTTCTTTTTATTTTTCTCTCTCTCTCTCTCTCTGTCTCTCTCTCGCTCTCTCTCTCTCTCTCTCTCTCTCGCTCGGATTTCCAGAAGTCGATACACACCAAACTTCTACTTAACCTATTATAAGTATTTACCCTACTTGTAGTTACAAGCCCTGAACTACACCCTGCTACCGTTTCGCCTTAAACACTAAACCCTAAACCCTAAACCCCCAACGGTCAGCCTTTGTGTGGCCGACGAACTCGGCCGCCTCCGCGGCGAAATCGGGGCCTGCCGATGGGAGTCAGATGCGGATTCTTATTTTCCACTAAGCATGGGGAGAAAGACTTTAGAACTAAATTCCTGAACCCCTGAACCCTCAACCCTACACCCTAAACCCCACAAAAAAAAAACATTATTCCCCCATATCCAGAGGTCAGGTCCTTGCGGGCTTATAATAAGGGTACCCTTGCTGGGGTTGGGGCTACTTAGGGAACCCCGTTAAAAAAGCAAAAGAGTACCACTGGGCTACCAAGTACTAGAGGCTCGGGGGGGTTCGGGCTCACTGCCGGCGGCCTTCCTCCAGCTAGACCGGAAAACGCAAGCCACAACAACTCCCAGAATAAACAGCAACAGACCAGAATTGGGGCACACGAAGGAGGTAGTTCCCAAAGGGACACTTCGTCCTACTACCCTATGTACATCACATACTTGAAATTATGTACACACACACCCAAACATTTCTATATATATATATATATACGTATATACATATGTACATCTCTCTCTATCTATATCTATATATATATATATATATATATACATATATATATATATGTATACATACATGTTTTGGAATTATGCGCAAACGTATTCCCCCGTTACCACGAGAGAAACGAGACTGGAGGACAGCAAGCGCCGCCGAGGCACCAAATGACCCTACGCCAACGTCCATTGCAGCTGGCGCCTGAGACAACTCTCACATTATGAGTAGGGTTTAGGGTTTAGGGTTTAGGGTTTAGGGTTTAGGGTTTAGGGTTTAGGGTTTAGGGTTTAGGGTTTAGGGTTTAGGAGGGTTATGGGGATTAGGTTTAAAGGGCTTAGGGTGTAAGGTATAGGGGCGGGGAGGGGGGGGGGGGTGGCATTGGGGGCCGAATGCAAATACAACGGGCTATGCTGATTGGCATCTAAAGGTTATAAGACTTAACTAAGAGGGGGGAGGTGAACATCTTGGAATTTACACAGGCTCCTGAAATCGACACGCCTGCAGAACAGTGGAAGTGCAAGGCACATGGGAGAGAATGATCTGCGATGTGAGCTGCTAGCCGATGGACGCAGGGTTGCATGAGGGACGGGGGGGGGGTCAGGGTTTAGGGTTTAGAGTTGAGGGTTTCAGGGTTTAGTGTGCTAGGACTGAGATTATAAGATAGGGTGTGCAAGCCGTGTCTCATGCCCAGCACGCCCATGCGCTGACATCTTCAACCCACGCATGATGGGTGCGTTGGCCTGTGTTCCCTACCGTGCCTCTGCACCGTTGAGGAGCACGAGTGACACTTGCTGTGGCAGCTGGCAGGTCCTTGGGGAAGAACATCTGACTACCTGCCCTACCTGATACCACGAACTCCCTAAACCCTAAACCCTAAACCTACAAGGACACCTGGCTACGAAGAACCTGGACCCTGTGTCACCAGTCCACAAAAAAAACCAGCACACATGCCGGGAAAGGTTGTCCTGATTTCTGGCCCAGTCGGCAAGCTGCTCCCACGTGTACTTGGAGGTTCGTGGTACTTATTAACCAATTTTAACTGTACTTTTAACCCACCTGAGGTGCCCTAATATGGTTACAAGTACAGCTAAGTACCATGAACCTCCAAGTACGATCTGCTTGAATCTGCAAGACCACCAGCCAGCCCCGTTGTCCTAGCAATACACTTGACCCGGGAGGAACCTAGGAACAAAATGGGCACCCTTTTTGGCTTAGTAGCCGTTCGGGACGTG